ATATATATATATATGTATATATGTATATATATATATATATATATATATATATATATATATATATATATATATATATATATATATACGTATATGTATATATATATATATATATATATATATATATATATATATATATATATATATATATATATATATATATATATATACATATATACATGTATATATATATATATATATATATATATATATATATATATATATATATATATATATATATATATATGTATATATAAAATATATATATATACATACTATATTATATATATATATATATATATATATATATATATATATATATATATATATATATATACATATACATACATATATATATGTACACACACGCATATATATATATATATGTGTGTGTGTGTGTGTGTGTGTGTGTGTGTGTGTGTGTGTGTGTGTGTGTGTGTGTGAGTGTGTGTATGTGTGTGTGCATATATATATATATATATATATATATATATATATATATATATATATATATATATATATATATATATGTATGTATATATATATATATATATATATATATATATATATATATATACATATATATATATATATATATATATATATATATATATATATATATATATATATATATATATATATATATATATATAAATGAGTCTGGGTACACACTCACATACTCGGTAAGTACTTTTAATTTGTCTCTTAATTTTTTTTTCCAGATCTCAAGTAATAAGTAATAAAACCAAGTTAGTACGCTATTACCTTCAGTTATTAATTTCAACTGGTTTCCAAATGGTACTCTTGGATGAAATTTATCTAATGGAACTTTCAAATAAAAAAAAAAGTGGTCATCAGTGCTTAACGTCATCGTATTACTGTAGATCAGCGTTTCTGAAGCAAGGGTGAATTTACTCCTCGGGGGTAAATGCTAACATGGCAGGGGGTAAATCTATATTAATTAGGAAGGCCGATATCGTGCCAGACGGCGTCCTCGGTGTAGTTTGTTTTAGGCTGATTTGTCTCTGGCGAAAAGAGCAAGGTTATATAACAACAATAAAGAATTTATCGCAATCATCAATAGCAATTCATATGAGAATAACAAATAAATGGCTAAAATAATGATAATTAAATAGATCATTGATATTGATACTGCTAACAATATGAATTAAAACGATTGTACTACTGTAATAAGGAGTATGATAATGATTATTAAAAATACACGTATAAGTGCTTTAGAAAGAGAAGGTTAATATACAATCATAATAATCTTCACCAAGAAAAAAAGGATGCCAATAACATTTTTGGGGCTCATAAAAAAGAGAAGGAAAAAAAAAAAGAAAAAGAAAATTGTGTCACACAGCGAGACACGCAAAACCAAGAGAAAGAGAACACGACAATCGACAGAGGAATTCTTGCGTAATTGTGCCAAGGTAGCGTGTTATTTGACGACCACATGAAAAAAAAAAAATCTTATTCACTTTTAGAGCCATTGGAAATAGTAGTAATCGGTCTCCATAATAGTCATAGGACTTTGCAAGGCCTCACAGGAATTTATAGAGCCTTTTAACACCCACGGATTGCATTTAAAAAATCATAGGGTTTCCTAAACAACACCAAATTAACATAAATAAAGAGATTAATGGATTGAAAGTAACTTGTAATACGACATTGGTTACCAGTCGGATTCATGAGCTTACATAGAGCTTCAAAGGATCTTTCATAGGACATCATAACACTAACATAACTTCATTAGACTTTACATGTAAAGGGACACACAGTATATTACACAACATAATTCCAAACTAACCTTACAGTTCTTCCTCAATACAGATCTTTCACACTACGATCTTACTACACAAAGGACCTTACAAAACTCCATATAGGATTTTCAAAAAATTCCAAATAAACTCACAAACACACGAGCAAATACATAAAATCATTCTCTTTCACGAGTGAGCTCACTGGATGCGGACCCTCTATGTGTTTAGCCAAGACAGCGGAAGTATTAGATTGACTTGTAATGTCTCCTTAAATCTCTTTTTGGAGATGGGAAGGAACCTTATTCAACGGGTTAATTTGGTAGAAAATGGTTGGATATGTTTGTGTTTGTTTGTTTGTGTGTGTGTGTGTGTGTGCCAAAGCTATCAATCTACCCATGTAAATAAACACACACACACACACCCATACACACACACACACACACACACATACACACACACACACACACACACACACACACACACACACACACACACACACACACACACACACACATACACACACACACACACACACACACACGAATGCGACATGAAAAATCAACATGGAAACACATATCCGTCATGAAAATCAAATGATACTGTTTGACTTGTTAGCTAAAAGACTTTTTCCTTTTCTTCTGACCCATATCACCATGCACAAACATCACAGGTTTCAGAATACGATATAATCTATGGTACACAGATGTGTGTGTGTGTGCGCGCGCGCGCGCGCGCGCGCGTGTGTGTGTGTGTGTGTGTGTGTGTGTGTGTGTGTGTGTAAACCATAAAAGACAAATAAATTTATAAAATCAGAGCGACCATTGCATCTTTCAAATGTACATTATATTTGTTATATTGAATTTGGCCACTCTCATTTTTTTAAAACCTAATCTGTATATTGCTTACTGGT